CCCCATCACCCTCGCCTGTTCTGGAGAGAAGGTCTTACTCTCCTGTCTGGTCTCAGAGCTCTGGCCAAACTGTCCCTGCCTGGCTATCACAGTACTGGTGACAGGAGCAAGTGCACAGGCTCCTTAGTTGGGTACAGCACATCGGGTGCAGGTTCAGATACTGCAGCAGGGGCTGTCGGAATTATCCCAACATCAGAGCGTCTATATTTGTTGTGAAGCCTTGTCCCTACTCATCCTTCTTCCCTCTCACTTTCCGAGGAGCAGGATTCCTCGGGAAGTGGGTCCAACTGCATAGCCCTTAAGGTTCCCCTAGTCCGGGCTAACTTCGCTTTAAGCTTTTCTTCTTTCTTTTGGCAACTAGCGTGATCAGATGCCTCACTCAGGCCCGTCTGCAGGGTTTTCATTAAGCGGTGTCATGCGGTCTGAGTCTCCTCCACCTGCACTGAGAGGGTTGCCACTTCCTGCCCTTTCTTAGCCAACAGGTCCGCTTGGTCTTGTAGCTGGACCATTAGCCTTCCTACCTGGGTAGCTCCTGCTGACACTTGTTCCTGGAGCGTCTCGTTCTTAAGAGACGCTCCAGGAGAGAAGCGTTCTGCCCCGTTCTGCCTCTCTTGCCTTAGCCTGTGAATGGGCCTCTGCTGTTCGCTGTTCCTCCTCCCACACGGCTTTGTTTCATTCCTCCGCGACGGAGAGGAGGCCGAACAGCAGTGCTCGTTTACGTTCCCTGCGGGATGGCATAGGTGGATCTTGTGTGAAACCCGCCCATAGGGTTTGGAAGGAGCGCCAGGCCTCCCTGCCTTGAAACACCCCCATCCTTCCAGGGATTGCTACCCTTTGTTACAGCTTGGATAGCCACCTGTATTGGTGACTCCAACTCACTATTGGGAGACCTACCCGCTGCCAGACAACTTGTCCACGCACACATCTTAATGTTTACTATGTGATCAAATTCTACTGTATTATAGTATTACAGCCCAGGGATACACCAGGAATAAGTCGCTGGAGAAAGCTGTTTTCTGCCTTCTACCCTGTGGGGAAATCTGAGGGAAACCAGGAGTGCCTGTCCCCTCAAACAGTGCCTCTCTCCCTTAGTGGCACTTAGGCGCCGCGCCCCCCCCTTGTTGCGGCTCTCGCACTGGACCACGTCACCCGGTCCTACAAGATGCGCCTTCCCAACCAGGTAGTGGTCCCTCCACGGAGCAGGGAGCCCTGCGTAGCTAATCCAGCGCTCTCTGCCCGGCAGCCCACCCCTCCTGGTTTCTTACCAGCCAAAGGGCCAGAACCCAATTCTGCTATAGCGGATCGTCTCCAATCTACGACCCTGCGGTGCACACACCGTTATGGGGACTCCACAGCCAGATTGAGTCTAGACTGCCAGCCCGGAGGCTCCCCTCTGTGCACTGGCACCTTCAATCCGTTTCTCTGCTGCTGGCCTTCGTAGCCTGCCCCAGCAGATACAACGGCTCGCTAGCCGCCGGCTGCCTCGCCACCACCGCCAACCCCAAATCTCCCGTGCGTGGGGGGGAATGGGTATACACTTCTCTGGGACTCACACACACCAGCACACCACTCTTAGGCTCAAAAGAAATATAAAGGATACTTGGGTAAATGAAGACAGGGGAAGGAACACGGGTAGCCTATTCCCAGCCTAAGCTTGCAGAGGGTCCCTTCGTGGTCCCCACAAATGTAACCCAAGCACCCCAAGTGTCGTGCTTCTGAGAAGCAAACTCTTCCTGCAGGCTCTGACTCGGAGATTGGCAGGAGGTTACTAACCCTTTGCAGGTCCCCTACGCACCCGCCTAGGAAGAATGCCACCCACACTGCTGTTTAATTACTAAGGGAGAATGCAAAGGGAGGAAGGGAATAACAATAGGGCCTAAATCCAACAAACACACGGTGGTAACTGGAGACCTTCTCCCTTAACTCCTTCCCCGGACACTGACTCTTATCTGGGCTGGGTCAGATGCCTCCTCCGGCAGGGGCTGCTGCCGAGGGGCTCAGGTGAGTGTCCCCCCCAACCCCTTTGCGCCGTCCTGGCTGCAAGTAAGAGCCTATCTCTGCGTGTCTGCAAGTGTGCGCCCCGAAAACAACAAACCCCGACAACAAGGGTTTCAACAGCTGTCAGGGGCTGACAGCTGAGCCCCCATTAGGGGGAGAGATCCTGACTGCAGCTGTGCTTAAACTCACAGCTCAGCAGGCAGCCACCTTCCCACCCTCCTGAGAAAGAGCAAAACCCCCCTCCGCTTCCAGACCGGCTTCCCTAAATACCCTTCTGGTCGCTAGGCAACTCCCCCTGGTAGCTTCCCGCTCTTTTTGTGCTTCCCGCCCTGTGCCTTTTGCAGGGAACTGAAACTTTGCAAGAGCTATGCATCACCCAACTTTGCAAGAGCTACCGGTATGCATCACCCAACTTTGCAAGATCTATGCATAACCCTTCTTAATTGCATGCATGCACCCTACATGGATGTGTTCCAAGCATGCACAATTTAACTAAGGAGCCTCATTTTTTACAGGGTGAGGTAGGGGATGGGTTTGGGGTGGGGCTGGGGATGAGGGGTTCATGATGCAGGAAGGGGCTCACGGTTGGGGCAGAGAGTTAGGATGCGGGGGGATGAGGGTTCTGTCTGGGACTGGAGATGAGGGGTTGGGGGTGTTGGAGGGGCTCAGGGTGAGAGTAGGGGTGTGGGGATGAGGGCTCTATCTGGGACTGGAGATGAGGGGTTGGGGTGTGAGAGGGGCTCAGGGCTGGGGCAGATGGTTAGGATGCGGGGGGATGAGGGCTCTGTCTGGGGCTGGAGATGAGGGGTTGGGGTGTGGGAGGGACTCAGGGCTGGGGCAGAGAGTTAGGATGCGGGGGGATGAGGGCTCTGTCTGGGGCTGGAGATGAGGGGTTGGGGTGTGGGAGGGACTCAGGGCTGGGGCAGAGAGTTAGGATGCGGGGGGATGAGGGCTCTGTCTGGGACTGGGGATGAGGGGTTGGGGGTGTTGGAGGGTCTCAGGGTGAGAGTAGGGGTTTAGGGGGTGAGGGCTCTGTCTGGGGCTGGGGGTGAGGGGTTTGGGGTGTTGGAGGGGCTCAGG